AGGGAAATTTTAAATTTATATTTAAATGAGCTCTAAAATTTATGAAAAAAATCTTAAAGGTTTTGAATAACCTCAGAGGCCCCATATAATAGTTATACCATTTGGAATTATATGTTCAAGTTTTCTAAATTTTTTATTAAATTTACTACCATTTTTTATATCTAAAAAAAAAAAAAAAACCTTATGAATTAGTGGGTTAGGGTTTACGTTTTATATAGGCAAATAGGTCCAAACTTCTAAGAAAACTGTTGTATGAGCTAAGGATTGTTTTGATGAAAATTTAAAACCATTTTAGTTTTTTCCTTTGACTTTTCCTTTATTTATTAATTTCCATATAAGCTTAGGGTTTAGCAATTAGTAATTTTTTGACCTCAAATCATCTTAAAATTCTAAACCCTAATTTTCAGATCTATTATGAGTTCAATGAACTTTACTTCATATTTTTATGAATTTCTTATTTATTTTTAATTTTCAAAGTTCTTATGCCAAAATATTTTTTTATTTCTTTTTAATTTTAAAAGTTCTTAGGTCAAATCTTTTATGAGGGTTCATTTGTATTTTTGAATTCAAAATTAAATTATTATCAAATTTTTAAGCTCTAAACAATTTATAGATCTAATTAAATCCTAGAAAAGGTATTTAATTAAATGTAGCACCGTCAGCTGCACTTTTACATGCAACGCTGTTCAATTGGTTCCTATTATTAGTAGCGGGTCTTGTGTGACACATAAGATTAACCTCAACTTTTGATCTTGGATCAAATAGTTGAGGTTAATCCATTTAAACTGCAGGTATTCAGTATAAATATTCATGACCATGCATTTATTTTATACAAAATGGATGATGACAACATCATCCTCTTCGTCTTGCTATTAATAAAAATCAATCATTTTAATTTCTCTAACCCAAGTAGATCTGTGAATAGATCTTAATGAAATTGATCAAAGAGGATCAAAGTGTCATGAATTCATAATCCAATGGCTAAATGGCCTCTAATTATAAGCTTACTTCTCAATTTATGAAACCACTTTTACTTCATGCTCAGAGGCAAATTATACCAACATCCTATGAGTTACAAAGGAAATTGATCATATTTAGTTTGCTTGACCTTGTGAAAGAGTTCCATTGAAGACTAAGGTTTCGTTTGGGACGGTTTTCTTACTTCTTCTTAAAGCAGCTTTTTAGTACAAAAATTTTAAAAAGTTGCTTTAAGAAGTAAGAAAACTGCTCCAAACAAACCCTAAGGCTTCGTTTGAGACAGCTTTCTTGTTGCTTTTTAAAGCAGCTTTCCAAAACAAAAATTAAAATTTTTATACTGGAAAGACGCTTTAAGAAGCAATAAAAAAGTCGTCCCAAACAAAACCTAAGAGAGCTGGGGATGGATGGATGTATTATAACATAGGTTTTGATCATGAAATGCTCATCAAAGCTTGCTCAATGTCTAACACAAAGAGTCTAAGAAAGTTAGGGAAAGCTCGAGAATGGTCTCTCATATACTATGAAATATAGGAGGGGTTTACACGTGCAAATTTCTACCCCAGTGTAGCTTATTTATAGGATTTTAAAAATGCATTTGGATGGGAATTTGATCTTCCCCAACCATCTCATTTGACCAATTCAATCAGGAAATGCCAATGGAGGTCTATGAAGTGTCTTGAACTGTTCCAAGGCTTGGGGATAGTTAGCTTGGTCATTTTCATGCATTAAGTGCACATGGGGGGACTTGGCCATTGTTAAGAAAGTTGCTATTTGCATGTTTTACATTCTTGCAACTTGTATAGTTTTGATGATTCCAAATATTATTATTTTAAGTATTATATTCTCCTAACACTTTTTGGAAGAATTGTTTTTGCTCTTGCATGGGCTAACATTTCAGAAAAATCAAACTCCAGACTAATGAAGACTTCAAATCAAATTAAACATGAGATAGTTTGTAAATTGAAGTTTATATTTTTCATTATATTGAGTTTCAGAGAGTATGATTGTAATGGAGTAGCTTAGCACACACACACTTGGGGAGATCTTTAAAAAATCATACTGATCATACGGGACGAACCAAGTTCGTACTGGATGATCAAGTTAGTTATCCCCTCGGAAGAGCAATGGAACGAATAGAAAGTGAGAAAATTTTTCTAAATCCTGATCGTCCAGACTAATTTTCCTATTCGTCCTTGGACGATGCTCTCTGGATTCTCACAATGAACTGTTCGTCCGGACGAAATGGACGGTTCGTCCCAGGAAGATCTTTTCTGGATTCTGAGATTGAACTGTTCGTCCAGACGAAATTGCTAGTTCGTCCCTGGACAATCTCCTCTGGATTCTCAGTCTGTACTGTTCGTCCAGACAAAATGGACAGTTCGTTCCAGGATGATGTCCACGGGTTTCAAAGATTGTGATGTTCGTCCAGACGAACATGAACATTCGTCCCAGGACGATGTTCTCTGTTTTTTTGACATATAGACCGTTTGCAGGTATGTTTTATTATGGCTTTAAAATAACTATTCGTATCAGATAAACATTGTTCGTACGGGATGATAATCGTGTACGAAGTCAACTCGTCCCAATGCACATAAAAGATCGTATGCAACATTTTTACACTATTCGTCCAGGACGAAATCACGATCGTACGGGACGATCGAGTGCATACAGAATTGAAATTTACAGTTTTTGGACGATTTTTTGTGTCTTTCCTATATAAAGTCCACTTAAAACTGTCTTGTAATCTTTTTGCCTACTGATCTTCGTGTTAATTGAAGGGAGAGTGAAGGAGAGAGTGTGAGAGAGTGTTTGAAGGAGGATTCTTACTACTAGAGCATGAAGGATTCACTTGGTACTCAAAGGTAAGAATCTTCACTTGTGATTTGTGATTACTTCACTCTTTTCTCTCGTCCTTCTAGAATTCTTGTGCGAAGATCTGTCAAAGAGATCCGATTCTCTGCCGACACTTAGAAAGTGTGAACAGTCGAAGGGTTCTCTACAAACACTTGGAGAGTGTGAACAGCCGAAGAGTTCTCTGCCTACACTGGGAGAGTGTGAAAGAACGGACGGTTCTCTGCCAACACTTGGAGAGTGTAAAAGGACGACGGTTCTCTGCCGCACCGGGTAGTGGTGGAAAAGAGTTTTGTAAAGGTTTCTCCGCCTTGCTGTGGGTGCAAAATGAGAGTCACTAGTGGTATTAGTGCAATACTTTGAGGGTGCCTCCGGGGAGTGAATGTAGGTCTTATTTGACAGAACCACTATAAATCTTGTGTCATTTTATTTTTCGCTGCTTTTATTTTTAACTTTTTAATTTGTGATTGAAAAACCTTTTCTACAAAATTCACTAAAGTTATTCTCGGTTTAAAATTCAAAAAGAGGAAAAAATTTTAATTACCAATTCACCCCCTCTCTTGGTTAGACACTGGGACATAAGCTTAGGTCTAACAACTTAATTCATATTGAACAAGTTTCAATAGCCATGATTTTTTTTGCCACACTAAATGGCCACCAAACCTATCAATCCATTTAGTAAATTCTAAAGAGTTACTAAATTTCATAAAGTGATATTTATTTTAAAAATATTAAAATTCTACATGCAATGCTGTGGTGTTGTGCTAGAAAGCACAATAACGCTGAGAGCACTCTAACACCAAAAAATACTACCGCGACTTTGAAGGATCTATTCTATAGTAATTACTGGAGTACCATGTAATACAATCGCACTAGGTCTTAGGTGTCATAGCTCTAGAAACTAAAAAAAAATAATAATATTTTAATTTAAATATCCTTGTCATCCCTCCATGCATGCCTCCTCTCATTTCATTACATTACTGGGGAAGGAAAAAAGGAGAAGAAGAACATGATGGAGAGAGAAGAGAAGAAATAGATAAATAGATAGACTGAAATAGACAGACAGACAGACAGACAGACAGACAGATAGATAGATAGATAGATAGATAGATAGAGAGAGAGAGAGAGAGAGAGAGAGAGAGAGAGAGAGAGAGAGAGAGAGAGAGAGAGAGAGTCTTCCAAGGCATTTTCATCTGTCATTTCTATTTGAATTTTTTTTTAATCATGGTAAGTAACCCGAATCATACCTTTATTTTTAGTGGTTTTGTATTTAGTGAATGTAATCTCCACTGAATTGATAAAAAAAACAATTTCTCCTAATTTATCAAATTTTTACCGTGCAACTTTTGTATATGATAGATATAATTTTTATGAGTATTTTAACTATAATGTTATTGAATTTCACTCGATAAATTTATAGCTATGATTTTATGAAGTAAATAAATACTTAATAAATTTTTTTATATTTCATAGATTATTGTATCTCATACATGAAATTGAATTTGTATAGAAAAGGATATGACTAATATAAGATAAATGTGGCATTATAATAAAAACTGGCTAGTTCTAAAATTATTTAGATTGGCTAGTTCTAGAGGAAGATATACCTTATAAAGGGTAGGAGTGAAGACTCTTACAAGGTAGCCACCATAGAGAAATATATTTAATGTAATGAATAGAGCTTAAATAAACATTCAATGTGTTGATGAGTTAGATGATTGATAAAAGCATTAAAGTGGATTCAAGAGCAATTAAGATAGTAGCAAAATAAGCCAAAGCCTCATTCTTAAAGCAAATACATTGTTTTTCTCTAAAGGGTTTCAAGTGTTACATTTGACTAAAAATGAAATTCTACAATAGATATAAAGGAGTCCTCTTCATGTCTAAATAAAAATTTTGTTTATGATATAAACTATCTTATATATCTCAACATTTTTATTTTCATATGAAGAAGTTTCTATTAAAATTAATAAAAAATAATTGCCTCATGAAGTGCTTCCCTCATAAAAAAATTTATTGACATGTCTAAACTATATAATCATGTATAAATTTAAGAAATCTAAATCCTAAATTTTCATATAACAAATATGATTATCATTTGATAAACAATACATATATTAACAAACATCTTGCATTCTTTTGATACTTAATATTTTTTTTTCCTTCATCGATCAAGTCCTTTGTGTTTAATTTATGCACTTAATAGCTCACAAAATCCTTCCATCTCGTAGAGAATATGGAGGTTCCGCCTCTCTTAATCCACCTCCACAAGTTATCTCCGGCGACGTCGGAGGAATCTTTGGACGGCGTCCTAGAAACCCTATGGGAGACGAGGAAATCAGGTCTATCCCCCATCCAGAGGACGCAAATCCATTCCTTACTCAACCTCCCGGTTCCTCAGGAGCTAGACACTGTAAGCTTGTTACTATTCCCTCTCGATTTTTTGATATCTAGGGTTTGACCTCTTTTATAGCTCCAAAGTTTCTCAAACACCCCCATCATCCCGCGGCGAATTGGAAGCTTTCTTTTTGCACGGAAACTGAAAGTATTATTGGGCTTATTAACAAGTGTTAGTGAATATGCTTCCTTTATCATAAAATATATCGTATGTCGTTTTGAGCGTCTGGGCTCTTGTGTTCGTTGGCTATTTCATTAATTTATTTAGTTCTAGTTGAATTTCTTATACTTGTATAGTGCTTCTTGCACTTCAGACTGGAAATTTTCAAATCAAAGCTTTTCCCTATGTTTTTTCAATGTTATTTTCTTATGTTTTGTCAAGTTTGATTTCTCATGTTGTTTGCAAAGTTGTTAGCAAGAACAGTCACCACCTGGTGGTCTGACCAGTGGTGTTCAAGGACTAAATTTTCTCCTTTCATTGAAGATGGCTTCTGATGTGTAATGATTGCTTTTACATGAAATTCTAATAGAAAAGATCCATGGATTCAGTTTTGGATGACTTGTGTGATAATATCAATATGCTTAATGCTAATGAAAAATGAGAGAAATTTTTATTCTTAAAGCATGAAAGAAGATGCCTCCTGTTTCAAATGAATCCCTCACAAAAATTTGACAAATTTATTTTTTATGTTTATTACTATTGATGTGAGAGATTGGATGGCTCTTCGAAAAAAAAGCAAGCAGGAGACTCTTAAAATCCTTTCCATACTTTTTCTTTCAAGTCAAATCATCTGTTAAAAGATGTTTCTACTTTATATGAACCAACCCTCGCATCTCTCTCACTGACCTAAATCCTTAATCCATTCATATCTATACCTATCTACATCTATATGTACTAATGGTGTTAAGGACTTTGGTCCCCTTTGATTCATTCTCCCTAAAAAAGGGAAAGAGAGAAAATGCCTATCTTCTGTAATAATGGTGTTAAGGACTTTGGAGAAAGTATTTATGTCTATATATTACGATAAGAAAAAAACTCTCTTATTTGAAACTTTTAAAATCCATGAGCAAGGAGAGGGCTTCATTTCAAAATGGGCTCCCCCACCTAATCTTCAAAAATTTCTATTATAAGCATATAATGAGAGCAATGAAAGGCGTTCCATGAATTGATTGTACATTACTATAGGCATTATGACATCTAAAATATAAAAGGGAGTTTATATTTCTATATATATATATATTCTAGAATCTATATTTTTAGATCTATTTGCTTATCTATATTTATTAGATATGATCAATATGCAAATGACCCAATAGGCCAACGAAGTCCATTCTATTTGAAAGGTTTTGGTAGAAAAAATAGGCATGTTGGTAGATTTCAGGCTTAAAAGCTTGAGATTGAGTGAGAATTGAATTGGTGATTTTTATGAAATTTTAGGCAAGTTCGGACCCAGCCTGTCTCGAGCTTAGAAGAATCTATAATAGTTCTATGAAATTTCATTTTCTTGAGACCCATACTTAAAGATTTTATGGTTAATCTTATAGATTTTCTTATCCTTTAGGTTACCATTTGTAAGTGCTCATTTTTTCAATTTATTTTATGCGAGTTGGGTGACCTATGGTCTTGCCTTATTCATTAATGAGCTGGGTATGATTGCACTATTCAACCCAATGATCAGGTCCAAGCTGACACATTCTTGAGATAGACAAGCTTATGCTTGATAACACCTGAGCCATGCTAGGTTTCCGTTAATGATCAATCCTAAATCTTTTTGTTTACATCAAGTGTAAAATTAAAAGAAAATTTTCCATTTAAATTTTTTTTACATTGTTGTTGTGGAATCTTATTTGATGAAAATCTTAACAAAGTAATTTAGTATTCATCTATCAAATTATCAAATTCTATTATATGTTATTTAATAAGTTATTTACTATGTTATTTAATAAGCTATTTACACTATTTGATGTTTAGTCGTATTTTTTCTGCACATGCATCTCACTGGGTTAGGACTTGTATGATTATATACCATAACATGAAAATGCAAATGCGGCGATGAATGATTGGGGAGCTTTTTGACTTTGCCGAAATATAAAAAGTATTCATCTTCACACATAGACATGTTAGATTTTAGTTTAAATTTGATGAGATTATAAGGATGTATACAAATAATGAACATGTAGTGGGGACGGTGTGATTTTTAAGCTTCGAGGTTGTTTAAACTCCATTGTTCATGTCTTCTAATCCCTTTAATATAATTACTGTTACAGAACATTATTATAGATAACATCAAAGCTTTGTAGTAACACAAGGGAAGATGGCCTATATGGCAGCTTGATGGCTTGCTTAGAAACATGCCAATTAATTCTGTAACTAAATTGATAATTACGAGCTATTTTGTTGCACTTTTGAAGCATTGGCTATTTAAGTAGGATGAGTTAAAATAAGAGAAATTTGAAATGGACTTTTCCTTTCTAGAACTGAATTTGAAGTATGGGATCTGCTTATACATTGGAATAAAGAAGTGGACCGAGTAGCCATGAAGTAATATGAAATAAAATAAGGAAAAAGGGGGCAGCTCAATGTTCATACAGTTAGAAGTTGTTTAGTACGGGTAACTTGAGCTAGAGTTAATAACACATAGCAAGAATGATCCAGATAATTGGGATAAGGCTTTCTAATGACAATGATGATGATATATGGTTGGATATGAGTGGAGAATTTTAGATGTATTTATGCCATTTAAATGACATGTTTATTTTCCTATTTTTTCTTTTTAAGAAACTGATGAACACAATTTTTTTTGGGTGAAAAGGACAACAATATAGTTCTTTCAATGCTTATTCTGTGGTGCTTAAATATATATATATATTTTGGAGAAAAGGACACAACAATATGGCTCTTTCAATATTTATTCTGTGGTGCTTAAATATAGTTTTAATCTATGTGTTATCTACCTACTGAATCTCTTCTCCTCGACTGCTCATATTTTTAATGGTGAGCGAATTTTGGAGTTACTTTATTCAATTATATGTGTCAATGAGTGTCCAGGGTAAAGATCTATGCTTAATGCCAAGGGAAAACTAGATATTCTTGGTTTGTTTTTTTCTTATTATTATGGCAAAATCACGCTTTGTTTTATGATTTCATTGGCCTTCCCATGCAATTTGATTGTGTTATAGAGCTTTAAACTATAATAGTCCATGCTTTACAGTTCGGAGCTATGAAGAAGATGTGATTGTCGTGGCAAGGTTGTGGATAGGTTATTGTGCATGTCTTAGTTTGGAGATCGGGTAAGCTAAAGCTATCAAATTAGAGTAATTCATTAGGATTGTAATTAATTAATCAAGAAAGGCCCACAATGATGAATGTATTTTGAAATTGTTGACACTGGTAGTTTATAAGAAGAGTACTATTCAATACCTGTGCTAACAAATGCAACCTTAGGCGCCTTAGTTTCGCATTTTGGTTCCAAGAACCCTGCCTTTTCACACATGAATTTTGAAATTGTTATCATGTAGTTTGCCATTTTTTATGTTTTTTTTGGTGTTAGTTATTAAACTTGAATTTGGCTTCGTCAGATGGCATTTATAAATTTGCTAATCTGTAGCAACCTTGTTGACCCTTGGTTCAGTTGCTTCTTTTTCTTATAACAATTTTTTTGGGGAATTTCCTCATTGTATGGGAAGAGGAAGAAGGATTTTTGAGAGATTGGGAAAATCCCATTGTAAGTAATTTCTGTCATGAAACTATTCTGAAGTTTTATTTGATAAAGCAAGTTCATGAAAACTTTATTGGTTGATGTTAGAGATTTAGATAGAGGTTTGAGGTTATACCCTACACCGAAGACTTGAAGGGTTCAAAGTGGGTAATTATAATTTTGAAATTCAAAATTTAGTATTATTCTTTTGCCTTCCAAGTTTTATTTTAAAGACTATCATGTCTGAAATGTTGAAAAATTAAATGCCTAAATAGTTGTAAATATTATTACAACAGAAAATGAAAGAATCAAGTAACATAAATGAAATTAAGTATATGAATGAAAAAGAATACATGTATGTATTAAGAAAGTATGCAAACAAAGAAAATGACATATGAAAATGAAAAATAAAAATGTTCAAGATAAATGAAAAAGAAAGGAAAAATGATATGTATGAAAAATTTCAGGAGTTCACTCCCTTATGATACTGGCTGGGGACGCCGTACTTGTGCACGTAAAAAGGAAAAGGAAAATGTCTTGGAAATGGAAAAGGAAATAATTGGAAAGGTTGTAGCTTTGGGTACTTTAAGACGGTGCTCCTGTACAAATCAAATGAGAAAAGGAAATATTGAAGTTGAAAGTGCTTAAACTGTTTTAAAAGAAAATGATCAGAGATGTATAAATTACTGAAATGAATGAAATATTATTAAGAAATGATATGATACATATAAAAAAATATTTATATTGATTGTTTTAAATAGTTGCCCAAACCTCTAAATTAATGTTTCAGGTAAATCTCCAAAGAAGAAGAAATGGCTGAAAGAAAAGAATTCGTTTATAGAAGACGACGTGCAAATGACAACATGTAAAATAACTGATGAAAATGTTTAGTTTGGTTTTAGATTGATTAAAGTTTTTTTTGTGATTAGTGGCTCTTCAGTTAATAGAACAATTTATGTTGATGAGTTATTATTATATTGATGGAAATGTAATATTGTCCAACTTTTCGTACTCGCCTCGTTAGATCGAGCATCCGGGCCGGGTCGTGACAATAGCATTTAGGAATTTCATCCTCGTTGATGATACCAAGAGAGCAAAAATCAAAGAAAGGTTGGTGGCAAGGGCTAGTCGGACTTACATTGGTGAGAACAGGGCAGAGTAGGAAGAGATGAGGCTGGCAATTATGGAAAGAAATGCATGTTTTCTTATGATGATGAATGTCTTAGGTGTGATGACAATGATGATGATGGATGTTGATGTTGATAATGGACTTCTCAGATAGGACATTGATGAGAGGACTGTCAAGAGGGTGATTGGTAGACAAGTGAAGGTAGCACAACCGAGCATGAGATGTCATGCCGATCCCTAGCTGTGGGAGACAAATGAGTATTCTATAACTTCTTTTAGTTAATTGATTGTTAAATTTGAGTTTGGTCGCCCCATTTTATCTTTTGATATATTTGGGCAATATAGCATTATTTTTGTTTTAAAATGATCCTCAGTTTCTTGCTTATGGTTTGACGTGGAAGTTATTGAAATCTAACAAGATAAACAATTGATATACCAGTATTCATAGCAACCTACTAATTTTCAAAAGAAAACACTTTTTGAAGCCATGCAGCCCCATTCTTCATGATAAGAAATTATAGAATTTTTAGTAAAAAGTAGCTCTTCATATTTAGTAAAAAATTGAGTTTTATAAGATATCTGATGTGTTTATTTTATCAGCGTCTTATGCTTCTCCTTTGCTCCAACTAGTTATTATCTTTTGCGTGATATTAAGCACAGTGGCTCCAATTCTAGGTTCTGTCTTGCCTACGTTTTATCATCAGAAAAGTTTCGAAAGAGAAGCTTGCTGTAGAGGAGTTACAGAGACTCTTTCCAGTTGACCTCTCAACTGATATTCAGAAAACTCTTGTTACATTATTGCAGAAATATCAAAGCCAATGGGAGAAGGAAGTTGCACGTGAGCAGGTATTAAAATTCTTTCAGAATTCTATATTAGCCATAATCAGATTTTTTTCAGATAATCATCCTTCTAGTTTGTAGGGCATGTAAAACACCTTAGCAACGAAAGTTACGAGCATTCTTGCGCCAAACATTTTGGTTTTCAGGTTCTTGTTTTAATTGTCAGCACACATCACTTGATGCTTGTTTCTTAAAGGAAAGAGAAAAATGCTGAAATCCATAATACTTGACAGAATACAATTTTAAAAGCCACATGCCATAAATTCCATGTCAAGGCATGCATATGTGAAGCCGTAATTGTAAAAGCCCTTGGAAGCAAACCAGTTATGCTTATTGTGGAAGAGAAGCTTGATATGCGAGAAAATACAAAGAAAAGCTATTAGATAGTGTGGACAGTTATGTAGCAACTCAAGTTTCATTTGGGAATGCTTTTCAGCTGCTTTGCTTTGTAAAAATCTGGCATGATACAAATTTGATTTCAGAAAAAATGCACCAAGAGTGACCTTGTATTGCATGTGTGCTTCTTTTATAATTTTATGATCATAGACAATGCACCTGGAGAGCAACTCATCAATCTCTATTAAATTAGCACTTATTTTATTTCCTAGAGCATAAAATAGCTGCAACACGACATTACTAAAAAAAAGCCTTAATTTTATGCTCAGATTTTTAACCTTTTTGTGGTTTGAAAGAACATAAACCTCTCAACTCTCTCTCGGCCAACCTTGTTCAAAATCATCTATGGGCTCTAAAATTTGAGCTTTTGGGGCCCTGTTGATGTGTATTGGAAGAAAAAATAGTAAAGAAAAGAGAAGAAAAGCATATGAACACAAAAATAATGGCTGTTTTTTTATTTATTCTTAAAAAACAATGCAAGATACAAGTGATTTATTATTCGAGTGGTAGATCGGTTTCCCCGCAAACCATAAACGTTGCTAGGAAACTCACAAAGAAAACGAGAGCCAAAAATAAATTTGCTTGATGCCAAAATAACCACAGTTAATCCTAAATAGGCTCTCCTAATATCCTCCCAAATCGCCCCCTTTCCTTAATTAATTCCCTTTCTTGGGCCCCATCAGAGGGGGTGGGGGGGGGGTGGGGGTGGGGTGGGGGGGGGGGGGGGTGGGCGAACCCCCTTCTTTCTCCTTGCCAAGTTATGCCCACTTTAGCCCCTAGTTCGATCCAAGCTGGGTGTGCCGTCTGGCCCCTTGCGTATCAATACTCCCCCTCCTAAAAAAATAGACGCACATTGTCCTCAAGGTGGAAGGATGAGAACCATCTCCTGATCGTCTGATATGGCTCCCACGTAGCTTCATATGCTCCGATCGGCCCTTCCATTTGACTAGTATCTCCAGTGCTCCTGTTTCCCCTTGACGAACTTTTTCTATGTCCATAGGTTTCAAAATGACCTTCATGTTTTCTATCAGAGTTGATGGTAGTGGAGATAATGTATGATCTTCAATCGCACGCCTCAATTGTGAAACATGAAATACAAGATGGATGGCTAAAGTTAGTGACAACTATAGGCGTTATGCTACTGCTGTAATGCATTCTACTATCTTGTAGGATCCAAAGTAGGGGGGAAAGCTTCTCTTTCCTTTGTCTTGCCAAAGTCTTATGTCTGTAAGGTTGAATTTTCAAATAAACCCTATCCCAACCTCAAACTGCACGTCTTTCCTGTGTTTATCTGCTTGTTTCTTCATGATTTATTGTGTTCTCCGCAAATGTTTCTTCAATTTTGCCTATATTATTTCTCTTTCTTCCAAGTACTGCTCCACTGATGGCACTGATGTATTGCCATGCTCATAATGTATCAGATGAGGTTGGTCCCTCCCATTTATGATTTTAAAAGACGTTGTTTGGGCTATTGTATAATATGAAGTGCTATACCAATATTTCGCTAATGCTAACCAGTTGGCTCGCATCTTTGGTGTATCGAATACAAGGCAACGAAGATAAGTTTTCACACTGCGATTCAGTACCTTCATCTGGCCATCCGTCTAAGGGTGGTAAGCTGTACTCCGTTTTAGGATAGTCTCTTGCATCTTGAATAACTCCCTAAAAAATGACTCAGAAAGATCCAGTCCCAATCGGACATAATGGCCTCGGGTATGTCATGTAAATGATCTACCTCTCTAATAAATGCGATGCCATTGATATCACTGTGTTTGAGTGCCATAAGGGAATGAAATGAACATATTTGCTCAATATGTCCACTATCACTAGAATCACAGTGAACCCTTTTGATCTAATTAGTCCCTCAATGAAGTCTAGAGCCACCTCTTCCCACACTTTCTCGGGTAATGATAAAGGATGTAGAAGTTTACCTAGAGCCATAGTCAGGCATTTGTGTCTCTGACATTCATCATAATTGGCCACCAACTCTTCTATATCATTATGTATGCCCACCTAGTAGAGCTCTCCTACCAGTCTATGATATATCTTCTAGATTCTTGAATGTCCCCCAATAGCTGTGCCATGAAACTCTTGCAATAAGTGAGGGATGTGTTTCAATGCCCTCAAAAGTACAAACCGTCCTTGGTATAATAGCTTATGACCCATCAAAGAGTAACCAAGATTGTGTCTTTGTCCCGCATTAATTCTACTTTGATCTTACTCAGCTCCTCGTCTTGCTCGCTCTCACTCTTTAATGCCTCCCAATCTACCACCATGGGAACAGATAAAGCCATAACTTGAGGGTTTTCACTACGTATGGATAGAGCATCTGCAACTTTATTTTCTAGCCCAAGTTTGTGCTAGATCTCAAAGTCATAATCCAACAACTTTGGAAAACCACAGCTGATGCATCTCTGTCACCATCCTTTGTTCTAACATGATCTTCAAACTCCTCTGGTCAGTCATGTCTATAAAGTGTCATCCCAATAGATTAGGTTGTTACTTTTTTATTTCCACCACCATCGTCATCAACTTTCTTTTATACATCTATTTTAGCCTGACCCTAGTTGTCAACACTTGGTTGAAATAAGTTATGGGGCTCTAACTCTGCATGAGGACTTCCCCCAACCCATAGCCTTATGCATCAGTCTCCACTACAAACGGCTGGTTAAAATCTGGTAGTGCTAACACAGGGATACTTGTCATGGCTTTGTTCAGCTACTTAAATGCCTTGGCTACCTCCCCCCAATTGAAACTATCATTCTTTAGTTGCTCTGTGAATGATTATGCTATAGAGCAGTACACCCTCACAAACTTCCTATATTATCCTGTGAGTCCCAAGAACTCCCTCATCTCCTTCAAGGTTTTAGGTAAGGGCCATTCCAATACAATCTTTATCTTGGAAAGATCTATAACTACTCCTGATTTGGACACATGTCCCAAATATTCTACCCTTTGTTGTGCAAAGGAACATTTTTTTCAAATTGGCATACAACTGATGCTTCTTTAATGTCCCTAATACTACTCTCAAGTGCTCCACATGCTCTTCCTCGGACCGGCTATTCACCAAGATGCCATCGAAGAAAACCAATAAAAACTTGTGGAGGTAGGGCTAGAATATCTTGTTCATCAATTACTGGAAAGTAGCTGGGGAATTGGTAAGCTCATAAGGCTTCATTAAGAACTCATAGTGGCCTTCATGAGTCCTAAGAGCTATCTTGTGGATGTCCGTAGGACGCATTCTTATCTAATGATTTCCTTATTTCAAATCAGTCTTGGAGAATATCACTGCTCTATATAACTTATCTAACAACTCATTAATGAATCGTATAGGAAACTTATCCAACATTGTTTCCTTATTCAGAGCCCTATAGTCTATACAAAAATTTTAACTACCATCATTCTTCACCAACAACACATGACTAGATAAAGTGCTAGCACTAGGATGAATGATTTGGGCCTCCAACATCTCCTTGATTAGCTTCTCAATTTCCTCCAAAATTTCCCTCAACTGTCTCGATAGCAACTCAAATCTCTCCCAGTACTCCTTGATGGCTCTCTCTTGAGTCAAGATAAGAAATTGCTCATGTAGGATCTCCTTCCCGGATGGCTTGGAAATGTTCCAACAAGCAATCTTTAAACTCCTACGAACGGATCAAATATCTACTCTCCTTCCATTAGAACCAAGCAAGGGCTTTCCCCTCCAGTCATAGCCCTGCGGCTGTAAGCTTTTCATCCTCTCTCAATCTATTCACTGCGAAATACCTCTCAACCTGGTATACCTACCCATGGACATCTTTCCCTTTGAATACCGGTATCTTCAGCTTCCTCACCCTAGCATCTCTTCCACCATTGGTTCCCCCCCCTCCCCCCTCTCGAGGGTGGGAATCTCACCTTTCTTCCATCCACCTCACATGACCTGATCCCCATGGCTCGTCCCATCCCCTCCTCCGGTCGTCCACTCCTCTTACCCAAAAGGCCTTCCATAGTGATCGACTACTCCACCAACTCCCCCATAAAACTCTCTTCTTGCTATCCCCCCATTCAGAACCTCTAATCCTCTCCTTATCGGAGCCCTAGGAAGTGGTTCTTTATGAAAGAAACTCTCCTCATTGAACTATTTTTGTTTGAGCTCGTTTTCCTTAAATTCAGCAATGGGAATCCCTGTCGATTCCAAGTTAGGATTAGCGATGAGAACCACCAGTGGAGTTTTGGATTGCATCTCCATGAGCTTCCTTATCATCTCCTCCACCCCTCCAAATTGGTTTTCCATAGAAGAAAAGCTTACTTCCATGGTATTCCGAGGCAAATTTTCAGAAGGCAGATTGGATTTTGAATTAGACATTACCCATTGATTTTGCCCTCATTTTGTGAGGACTTTATGATCTAAGTTTAGTTTTCTTAAAGGCGCAAGTCCCTATAGTTAATTATCCCTCCCGATAATGAGAGAGAACTTTCGATTAAGACTAGCCATCAAACATATACATAGTATCTTACATATAGTAGCAGCATGATTTGGTATTTAAAAATATGGTATTTAAAATTAGAAATTTACCACATTGCACTTAAAGCGAATGGTGGAGGGAATGATGGACTCGATCAAGATCCCATGGTTCCGTTGTCCGGGGTCACATGGTCCTTGACCTACTTAGTTACATGAGGTATTCGACCCAACCTGACAGAAGGATCCTTGTTGGCAGCCATGGGTTATTTGGTCCAAGGGTACCTTGTAGATTTAGGATGAATGTTTGTCTAAGGTGACAAATATAGGGCTTTGTGCCATATCGATCATATCCTGTTGATTCATTACTCAATGATTTAACGTTGTTGGGGAACATATAGACTCTAATCATGACCTTAATATAATGGTGCAATTTTGCAACAAAACCATTTGGTCAGAGGGTCCCGGTCATAATCGTTTACTTGTGGTATGATATGAAATACTTGAGTTCACAAGTAATCTTAACGGGAAATACTTGAGTTCACAAGAAACCCTAACAATAATTGGTGAAAATAGTGAGAAAACTTCAAGATCTCCAATGAAAACAATAAAAAATAGTAGATTGTATTATAGGAATAAAATCAAAGGCAAAAAGAAGTAAAGATACAATTGATCCTCAATTCGAGAGGAGGTTCATTCTCTCTCAATCTCTAGATGATGAATCTAGAGCCCAAAGCCTTCAAGAGAACTCCAAGAGAAACAATAATTAAAATATAAACCCTAACCCCACCTTCTTATGCTTTTAAATACCCCACCTCCTAATAAAAGCTTCTTATTATGAAGTAAATTAAAATTAGCCTCCTCATGTAAACTGCCCATCTCTCTCTCTGTCTACTTGCCACCCAAGGGGGGGGGGGGGGGCACTTTCAGGGGGGGGGGGGGGCACTTTTCTTAGGCGCTGGCCCTAAATTAGGCGGCTTAGCCCGCCTCCTATATGTCTGAACCGGCCCCTCCTGGGCCTGTGATGTAAGCAATGCCCCCCTCCTTTTCCCGTTTTCCCTGGCTTTGGGTTGTTCGGTTCCTGCTCCCTGCTTTCCCGGTTTTCCTTGCTTTGGGCTGTTTGGTTCCCGCTCCTTGCTTTTTCCCGGTTTCCCTTGCTGGCTATTCGATTCCTGCTTTTCCCAGTTCCCCTTGCTGGCTATCCGGTTCCTGCTTATGCCCCTTAGCTTTTCCAATTTTTGGCTGTTCGGTCGGGCTTCTACTATGCCTTTAATACTGCCTTTTTCTTCCCCCTTTTGGTTGGCTGTAGTGGGCAGCTTAGCATGACTTTTGGCCTCCTTTTCTTTCATATTTATAGGGGCTATTTGTGGCTATTTTAAGAGAGTGAGATGTAGTGATTTTTGGAAAAGAAAACTTGCGGGTTTTGTTCTAGCTTGCTAGCTAGCTTCATTTCTCTTTCCCCTCTACTATTTCTTCTCGGATTTCCTATCTCATTCTTCTCTCCATGGTATCCCTTCCATTGTATCTATCTTCTAAAAATTACAAAAGGTTTTGAATATGTTGTGTCTTTTATTTTAAAGTATGGTTGTGTTTATTTAAACTTCTATGGGATATAATAGTATTGTTTTGTTCTATTTTTGTTTATGTCTAGGTTTTTTATGAAAGGAAGATTCGTGTCTTTGCAATCTAAATTTTGATTGCATCAAATTGGTATCAGAGACTTAGGTTTTTGTTGGGTCTTCCTTTCTTTTTAAAGTCTTTAAAAAAATGGAAAATCATAATATAATTGAATATGAAGTTGGAGAAAATCAGCCAATTTATCTTGAAGAAACTATTCCTAAGAGCATGGCTTTTGGCCTTTTTTTCTTTCCTCTGTTTGTGGCTTTTTTAAGAGAGTGAAATGTAGTGATTTTTGGAAAAGAAAACCTGCGGTTTTGTTCTAACTTGTGAGCTAGCTTTGTTTCCCTTTCCCCTTTACTATTTTGTCTCAGATTTCCTATCTCATTCTTTTCTCCATGGTATCCCTTCCATTGTATCTTTGTTCTAAAAATTACAAAAGGTTGTAATGTGTTGTCTTTTATTTTAAAGTGTGGTTGTGTTTTTTTAAACTTCTATGGGATATAATAGTATCGTTTTGTTCTATTTTTTTTTATGTTTAGGTTTTTTATGAAAGCAAGATTTGTGTCTTGGCAATCCAA